ATGGATGGATGGATGATGGATGATAGACAGACAGACAGACAGACAGACAGACAAGGTATTATGTGGTCACTAAGAATCAACCCCAACTTGATGGCACATAATCAAATCGATCATGATGAAATTCTAATAAAATTTGTTTACCAGAGACAAAGATGGGCATATATATCCTGAGTAAGAATTCTTTTTCAAACTATCTTCAACTTTCTTTTTTAAATCTATAGTCTATTTCCAGTCAAAAGTGGCTTTAAAATAAAAATACTCAGGTTTATGAGTTTAAATCTATTTATGCCATTAGACATAATCCTCAAAATATATCTCCATAGCCAGAAGAAATTTGTACAGGACTATCAAATGCTAGCAATAAACAGTTCTGTGTACTATGTAGTATCATCTCTTTGATACACTCCTGGCTGTCTGCTGTTCAAACCAGAATCCTGAACAATATGAACCTTAATCAGATCCAGCAGAACAATTTTAATGTTCTTGTATGCTTAAAGGTAGAAAGCAATTCAGAAACAGAAATAATTCATGAATTATTGTCTCTCCTGGTACAGCAATATTGAGAAAAGCCCCTTAATCTAGATCAGCTTTCCCCTCTACATTTTCTGCTAAAATGCTCTTTAACATCAGCTGGGTATAATGGGAATTGTAACCCTAAATGTATGAAGAGCAGCATTTGGGAAACATTGTCTTAGACCATGTGACTTTGTGTGGTCCAAATGAAGTGACATTTAATAGTAATATGTAGTCTCAAGATGGCCTTCCAAAAATGGCCACACAATCTAGATAAAATACCTAATTCCTCACCAGTGCACTGGACCAGGTATGTGGAATTAGACTCAGAGAGGTTATATAAATTCATAAAATAAAACAGCTCTTCCTCTCCACGCTTCTCTTATGGTTAATCACCCAGAAACTCCAATCAAAACTATTAACAGAATCATTCAGGCATAAAATTGCCTAAATGGAAGCTTGCTTGCTTCGACTTTTTCAGTCAAGAAAGGCTTTTTGTCACTAACACTGAAAAATGAAGGTTGACATCACCCTGCTCCTTTTAAACATTCATCTTCAATTAGCTGACTTATCCTTTTCTCCTCTTATGCCCTTAGTTCCAACAAACAATTATGTCAATTTCCCCATATCTTGTATTGGTAAGGCACTGGATTGAGATATTCACAACACTGAGGAGAAAGTATTAATGGAACTAAAAACCATAAAAATAAATGGACCAGAGGCATGCTAAGTTCAAGCAATCTACAGGATTCTGGAACAAAGTTCCCTAAATTGTGAAATAAGCCAATTTAAACATTTGTTTCTAGGCGTATTATTTTTCATGATGTCCAAATCAACTTGTGCAGGGGGTGTGTGATTAAATAAGTATATTGTGTGTGTTTTTATGTGCAGGATATATAGAAAAACTGTGCTCTAAAGGTTAGCATACAAAAATAAATGAACATAAATATAAATATAACATGAAATGAGGGAATTAAACTGCATTTCTCAGAATTTTACTATTTTATCCTATTTTAATTTTTTGAACTGAAAATAATTTTTGTGAGGCAGAGAGAGAAAGATGTGTCAAAAATATTTAATTGGGATATTATTTCCCATTCTGTTCAATGATGCGAGAAGAGATGACGTTATCCAGCAGCTTCATGTAGATATTAAACAGGATGAGGAAGAAGGGAGAGCCCTGAGGCACCCCACAAAGCAGGGGCCTAAGGCTCAGCTGCTCCCCTCCCATCGACACCAACTGGAACCAGCCTTGGAGGAAGGAGGAGAACCACCGCAAAATGGTCCCCTCCACTCCCAGCCCCCTCAGCTGGTCAGTGGTACTGAAGGCCACTGAGAGATCAAGAAGAACCAGAATGGATTCACCACCTCCTTCCCAAGCTTATCACAGATCATTGACAAGCGCAACCAAAGCTATCTCAGTGCTACACCCCAGTCTGAACTCTGACTGGAAAGGGTTTGGCTATCTGCTTTCTCCAGGGCCCTCTAAAGCTGGAGACCAACCACCTTCTCAACACCCTTCCCTAAAAAGGGAAGGTTGGAGACTAAATAGAAATTGTCCAGATCAGCTGGATCCAAGGATGGTGTCTTGAGGAGGGGGCACGCTGCCACCTCTTTCAGAGATGATGGAACCACCCCCCTCTCAAAGAAGCATTTACCACTACATAGATCCACCCACATACCCCCTCCCTGGAGGCTATAACCAACCATGAGGCACATGGATCTAATATAAACAGATGTTGCATCCCAACAATAAGCTTGATCAGGTTCATGGCTGTCATGGTGGCCATCAACTCCTGCACTGTCTCCAAGTCTGCCCCCAAGTATGGCTAATTAAAGTCCCCCAAGACCATAGGTCTGGGGAATTTCACCACCATGGAGTATTGATTGATTGATTGATTGATTGAATTTCTCTCCCCTACATGCCATATGTATGTAAGTAACTGTTGTGATAATAGCCCTCAATAAATCCAGGAAACAAAAGTAGACTGTACAGCAAGGGAATGTCTGACTGAGAGGCCTTGTGGTTACCACTTGACATAAAACCAAGTGAAAACTCTGACAAGTCTCACCAGTTTCAAAATGCTGTCAGTTATATCTTTTCATACATTTATAGATTGCTTTTTATTATTTTCTTCCTGGGAAACACATTATAAACTAGAAATATAAGTTGTAAATGTCCTTGAAGATCAAGACTTATTTTCAAAGAGCATTTTTCCATTTCCTTTTCCTCCTAGAAAACTGGAGCTACATAAAATAACAATCAATCTGGAGGTGTCACTTTCATGTCAAATAGAAAAAGAGAATGCTAGCTTATTAAGCGGGCTATAAGAGTAACTTCCTTGGAATGCAATTGTGACAGCAACGCGTAGTGCAGGAAGATCTCACGTGGCCTACTTTGATTATACATCTTTCAAGGCATTTTATTATATCTACTGGCAGTGTCAAAGGCAGAGAGACATCCTTCCTTGCAAACAGCCATATGTTAATCCATGGAAATTTGATTAGTTATTAAATGCACGTTAGTGTTTCGCCATGTAAATGTTGATAGCTTTTCTTAGACGCAATTTTCCATGGCTTGTTTCTACACTTACCATCATCGCTGGTGTGTGGCTCTGTACCATTGTCATGATCTCCTTCATCAATAGTTCCTGGCTCACTGTGTGGGCTATCACTGGAATCAAAAGTAGAATAAATAAATATACTCAAGTTTTAAAAATGGAGAAAAAAGGGAAGAGAGATGTGAACTCCTTACTAATAAGTAAATGCAGGAAACTTCAAATGGCTCTGGACGCAGTTTCAGAATTGCAAAATTGGAACATCTCATGCTTTATAAAAACTGCAATGCCCATGAGAATGTTTTCATCTTAAAAAAATATTTAAAAGAATATCCTAGATTAATATGAATTCTACCAGGATTAGTTTGCAATTTTACCTTCAGCACTTCTCCTACTACCACATTTTCTACTTCCACTGTATCTGCATTGCTGAATAAATATCTTGCTGTTTACTGCTCCTCCTATCATTCTTTCTCCAGGCAGTAAAAGCAACAGGGATGGGTGGCACTGCCAGTAGCCAAATATAATACCATCGGAGATCTTACTCATCATGCTTCACTCCAGAAAATGACACAACTTTGGCATAGTTGGGTGAGTTCTGAAAGTGCCAGGACAGCCCTAAGCCACAGTTTACACTGCCATGACTTTACTGCTATGGGAGAAAATGTTTTTAATTTTTTCCCCGACTGTGGCAAGCTGAATGCCTTGTTGGAAAGATATACAGTCCTTTCTCAGAAATAAGCACATGCGTGAGAGTTGAGTGATGTCTGACAGTGGTGGCACCCTGGGGCAGCATCTATCAGATGAGAGCTTTGAACATGAACAAAAGGGCCATTGCCACATACTTCAGTCCAAAGAGGTCGGAAGAGCCCTTTTTGAAGCAGCCATCAGATACAAGAGTTGTGGGCAGTAAAGGACAGGCTCTGCCTACTTGTGCTGCTCCAAGTCCCACTGATTCCCTGGGCTAAAGGGCTTCCCTTGTCTCATGGTAGGATTGACCCTGCTTCCTACTCTTTTCTATTTTGTGCAGTTATTAAAAAGAGTTCTTTAAAGATATCAGTGCTAAATCAAACAACAGTCTAAATAGTTTTTGTGGAACTTGCTTATTATTTATTTGTTTTACATATTTCTATCTCACTGCGATCTCTCTAATATATATGTCCAAAGGATGAAAATTAGGAATGAAGGCATGAATCCATATTCTCCCATTTTCCAGAACTAAAGTGCTAATTATGTAGCAGAAGACTGATGATCAATTAATGGGTTCATTCTGAGAAACTGACTTGGCTATTATCTGCTAGCCACATTCCCCACCTTAGCAGGATAGGAACATCTGTTTTGTGTTTGAGAAGATATTCTAAGCTGACATAATAGGAAACACAGTCCTTGTGGGCTAGTCCCATTTTATATAACAGATCTAATGGAAATAGACATTCATTGATCTGTTCCTTAGATTTTATTCTGTCACAAAAGCCCATTAAGAATGCACTGGTGCCTGGAAAGCAGGAGCTAGACAGCACGAGACAAACTGTCATTGCTATCATCACCATCTGCTCCTGCTGTTATTTGTTCCCATTCCTGCTAACAATTATTTTAAGGAAAAGCTGCTTTCTGAGCAGGATTGAGAAAGAGATTCACCCAAAGTTTACCATCATCCTAAGTGGCTTCTGTCACCAGTTACAATTGCCTTTTCCTCTCAAGAGCAGCCATCTTAAGTTCTACTTCATCGCTACAGAAACCAGGAAGGAGGGGTCCTGGGGACAAGTCACCTTCTAGAATAAAGTGATTATAAGTTGCCCCAGAAAGTGGGCCAAAGACCTTGTAGAAGATTACATGAAAAACTGCTGGAAACCTGTTGAAACAGTTGGCATCTACACCTTACAGTCTCCTTCAGGTCATGGTCAACTCCTTATGTCTTCATGGATGCATTTATACAGTTTTCTTGGCAACAACATGGAAGTGGTGAGGAGCTTTCAGGATGAACGGCCATGGTTTAGTTTTCTGGTGTGCTGTTTAATTAGGATACCAGAAAACTAGACTACAGTGATTCAGCCAGAAAGCTCATCACTGCTTGATTGACATGAACTGTGAAAGCCTATACCAGAATATGAAAGTGGCTTACCATTGCCTCCTTTTAGGGTGTTTTATGGAGTCCCTAGTCTAACTTACAGTCCTGAGATTCCTATGCAGTTATACAGAACTACATAGAATACAGGGAGGTAAATATAAGGAAATCTTTGTGGAAAAATAGACCTTTAGGCTAGGGATTGGTTTTGGTTTTGATCTTAGCTTCATTACAGTTTAACACACACACACACACATATATATATATTTATTATTCTTTCTTAGTTTTTTCCCCCAAGATTGCTTCATTCATATATACTTACCTGGAAGCAAGTCCCACTGAACTCAACAGGGCTTATTTCTGAGTAGACGTGTATAGGATTTAATTGTTAGCTTTGGGAATAATTATCAGTTTAGTGTAATTGCTAAGCCCATCAAGACAATGAACTGTTAAATAAGAGTGAACTGTAAAATAAACAAAATAAATGCTTTTAAGAACCTTCACTGTTTGTTCTAATGCAAGCAATGCTTTCATGACTGTGCTCAATAATTAAAGTCTAACCCACCCCTTGGAAACCTGGTGCCTTCTAGAAGTTTTGGACTTCAGCTACCATGAACTGCAACCAGTAAGAGTTGTGGCAGCTGTAATCACCAGGAACTACAAAAAGACCTGATCTCACCTATGGACAAAGTATCATATAGCCAGGAAACAGTCTCTAATCAATTTTTGTTCAAAATACTGTGAAGCTGATGGAAAAGATGACTCCGGTAATGGGTATAAGATGAAAGGAGGATTACAGTTATTCTGTCTAAACTAGGGTTAGGAAACCCTTGGCTGACATATTGTCCCCAGCAACCCATCTGCAATGCCCAAAGCCTCACCAAAGTGAAGGAGAAAATGCAGTTTCCAGACTGAAAGGTTTTGCCACCTGTGTCTAAACAAATCTTACTAATGCATCAAAACATTCCTCAAATCACCAAAATGTGTGCTAAAGATTACAACTCTTGATAGCGTCATGTACATGGATGTATATATTTGGATCATTGCCGATGTATTTCTTCTTGCTGGAATCAGCACTATAAGTACTAAAAGGCAAATCATTGAAGCAAAGAAGGTGGCAAGAGATTGGTAGCTTCAAAGAATAAGACAGAACTCCACATTTGGAGAACACAAACTAGTATCAGTTGACTGAGACCAATGGCAGGAGAGACTTATAGATTAAGGAAGAACACGGGTTTCCCCTGTGGAAAGAAGAATGCTGGACTGGATGGAACTGGTTTCAGGCAATCTCTACTTATGTTCTCAAAGGACCTGAAAATGAATTAGGCTCTAACCTCCTTTGGGCTCCTACACTCCAGCAGCACAACATTGTCTGAAATCTTCCTGGGCAACCAAGAGATTTAGAAACAAAAATAATTATTCCTTATACTTCATACATATACAACAATCCATTCCAGTTTGGCCAGAGAAATCACCCTGCATCATCTCGCTATTTAAATTAAGAACACCTGAAATAAGCATCCCGTACTTAAATAAGAAGAAATTCCTAAGCTTCTTAAGATGCTACAGGCATATATTTCATTCCTAAGTTTCTTACCAGTACTCTTCCCCACCAGTCATGCATTTTTCATAAACAGGTCCTTCCAGTTCCCTGAGGGTAGGGAAGATGGCCTCATGATTGATTATGATGGTTTTGATGACCTCATTGACATGAGCCTGGCAGGACACTGGATCCTGCCCATCTGGAATATGCATCAAAGTTGGTCCGAAGCAGATGGCTAGATTGTAGGGATCCATCATGTTCTCATCACTGTATTGCGACAAGCTGCAAATACAAGTAACCCACAGCTACGACACCAAGCTTCAATTATTACACATATAGTGCTCTACATGCATTTCCTCCAGCTGGGCAAAAGGCAACAATTACAAGTAATGATGGACAAGTGATACCCCTCCCTTTTGCCCAGTGCTAGGTTTGAGGAAAAAGAGAACACTGAAAGGGAAAGAGTATTGACCAGGGAAGGCTATTTATAGCTCCATTCAAAGTAAACAGCTAAAGAAAATGCTCACTGGTTAAGGAAAGCAAAGAGGTATCTCATGACAATGACGACAGCTCGTGGCAAGGTAATGATGATTTGCTGGATCTGGTGCACTCTTTCTGCAGGGTTTTCAACTTCTGTAAATAAAAATGATATATGTGTTCAGGTTCAACCACTCATTTATTTATTTATATGTACGTACATCCCAACTTTTGTATACTGTACGCTGGACTTGAGGCAGTTCACAAGGACAAAAATGACAACAGACCAACTCAAGAAAATTCTGTTGACTGGGTTTTTTACAGACACAGTCAAGACAAGTAACCTGAAAGCCAATCTCCCAAAACTATCTCCTATGCTGTGGGACAGGTGCTTCTCTTTGCACATCAAGCTGCCATTTTTCAGACAAGTAGAAAATATTTATAAAATGTCAAATAAAGGTACACAGTAATCCAACAGCAGACCTGAGAAGAGATGCTATGTACAATATTCACTATATTATTAGGTGACAAAATTAAAATTAGAAATGAGCAAACACTGACCAAAATATGAGGTTTGGATCTAAGTCCAGCCATTCATCTTAGACTAATTTGGGGACCTGGTTCAAGAAGATAAAAATGTTCATAGCAAATAAACTGGGCAGAGGATGGGGATGGCGGTACTTCTTCTGTTTGTCACTACTGGATAAAATTTGCAGATTAATGTGGCTTCAGAGGTTCTTTTTTTAAAAAAAAGAAAAGAAAAGGCAAATATTTATTTATATGTTCCAACAAAAATTACATAAAAGGACCTAACCTGAAGGGAACACACCTGCCAGATACAAAATGAATTGGCTCGAGAATTGTTGTTTACCTTTTAGATCTCGGGGTTTTGTTGTGTTTTAAAGCAGTGTTTCTCAACACTCTGCAACTTCAAGATGTGTGGACTTCGACTCCCAGAATTCCCTAGCCAGCATGTTTTAAATGATGCACTTATCCTCTTCTTTGAATGTATGTATTTGTTTGTGGACAATGGTTACTTTGGGAATAGTATACTATTTCTTCAAGATTTGTGTATAAATTCTGTTCATGAGACTTAGTGAGATAGGATGCAGGGCCAAATAGCTCAGTCTTGAAAGAGTAGCCCGCTGTACATAGAACTTTTTGTTGTGTGTATGTTAATTACACAATACTACTTATACAGTATTATACAATAATACTGTTCCAGCATACATACAAATTCGACTTAAGGACAGGCCTTGGGAACAGAACTCATTCTTAAACTGGGGACTACCTGTATATGTAATCTTTAGAAGCAATAAAGATGCCTTTTTAAAATGTTGCTTAAAGTAATCATCAGAACTATTAAAAACGACATGCAGCATAGAAATAAATATCAAAGCATTTGCACTATTTCAAAATGTTTTTTGTGGAAGTGGAATCTTCAAATTTGGAATGGGGGATGATTTGGTTTTCCTTCCCATCTCAATTTTTGGAGCTTTTTCTTTCTTTCTTTGTAATATGTATGAACAAATCATAAGGATCTCCCTTAGGTAAGGAACTTGCAAAATTTCAGAAAGTGTGACAGGAATTGTAATGAATAAAAACCATCTAGGCCTTTAATCACAGCAGGTAGGTTTTCACTGCTGCAATTGCTTGGTGAAATGACTTATGGGACTGCCTTGTAACTTCACCCTGAATATGTGGTGAAGTTTCAGTAGCCTTACTGTTAGCTTCTTCAGAGCATATCTGAAACTGAACTCAGTAACAGCTGTCATGTCCTTATCTACTGCTTATGCTCGGTGAAGCAGAACGTCTACAAATTAGCACTGCCAGTAGGATGACAGTTGATTCATCATCTCTATTTAAATTATGTGTCTGTTTATAAATTCCTATTGTCTCTCTATTAATTCTGCAGAAATTACCGGTTTCATCATGCCAGGAGGCTAATGTTCTCCAGGTTTATTTTATGGTATGG